AATGAAGGAATTAATAAATGAATAATCATACCATCGGTCTATTAATTATTAAAATTTTTGGCTTAGCTGAAAAATCTCTAAAGTTAGTTAAACAAATTAAATTTTAACTTTTATTAATTTAGCAACACAGAAAATATTTATTGAATGGGTGCTATATTCCAGGTTTGTGGTGGATGCTAGGCCTATAACGGTGAATTAAAGAATGGTGCTCGGTGCCTTCATGGAGCTTACAGCCTAGCTGATAGGGCTCTCTGTAAACTCTGAATCCATCCAACCGAATCATTTTAACTGTTTTGACAGTTCACAGCAATTGCCATGTTTGGTTCAGTCACTTGGTCACCCAAGCAAATCATTAAAACATATATAAAGTTATAACTAAGATAGAACTTTCAATTTCAACCTCCTGGGCTACAGTTTGCTATTGATTTCTAAAATGTAATCTCTGTGCAAGCAGACACTACATGAATATAGTGTTTCGTATTTCTTAAAGTTGTTTTCATATTATTTCATCTTAAGATAAATCCAGGAAACAGTGGCCTAAAAAAAAAAAAAAAAAAAGGGGAGTCTAGCAATTTTACTCAAGGTCATGCCACTTATCAGTGATGGATCTGAGACTACAACCCGTGTTTTCTAATTCCCAGTGCTTCCTGGTTCTCCTGCAGGAATATGCCTTTTGCTTCTCTTCAATATAAGTGCTATTTCTAAACCACTGGTGGGTCTACAAAGAATGAGACAGATGCTGCATGACCATTCATTCCTAGCAGGAAACCAGGCAGTCTTCGGACTCTGTAATGCCATCTACCTATTTTTGGCTCAAGAAATACTTTTCTCCTCTGATGGGCTGCTATAAATATAGATCCTTGCTTTAGGAACAGAACTCTTAAAACAGCCAAGACTTCAATTATGGCACATAGGCTAATAAGAAATATGTTCACTGTATTGAGAAATGTTACTTAATCTGAATTATCAACCCATCAAATTACGTTGAATCATGTGACAACAGCCTTTCAAAAACGGAAGAGCTGAGTGTGTTCTCCATTATCCATAGAGAAGAAAAGACGTGAATACAGAGATGGAAGACTTGGCACCAAGTCTAAGCTTCTTCACTTACTAGCTGTGTGATGGAAGCTGTTTCAATTCATGTAAGACTAGAAGAAATTGTCAAAATATATATACTGCCACCCTTTTTTATAAGTCAGCAATTCAGTCTGATTACTTTGAATAGGTTTCTTTAGAGCCCTCTCAACCATCTCTAGGTAGTTATACTTTATTGGCTGCAAGAGTTAGTGACAATGAAATTTCAAAGTAGACAGTACCATATAGAAGTTTTATAACAGAAACTAAAAATGTGCATTTCCTCGCATAGGTATTTCCAAGGTCAAGAACTAGAAACTATTTCTACTTGGAATCATTGTAAAATTTTGAACTTTTTTTCTATATCTGACTCTTTCATTCTTTGTATATATACAACTGTGTCATGTTTTAACAGAGGTATGAGATGGTAGAAGTTATATATATATAGCTATTTGAGTGAAATAATCTGTCCGGTGTGGCATTAAAAAATGTGTACTGGGCTCAGTGTTCTGTGTTTGAGTTTAGGATTTTACACTGTAAATTCAAAAAATGGGCTACAGTATCTCTAGTGCTCCTTTCAAATATAGCATTGAACAGTGTGTGTACACATGCAATAACCCTTGCATTGGTAATCAGATCTAAAGATAAATTGCCCAGTCAGCCTTTATGCACAATACTTTGTCCCTGACTCCTAATATATTTAATTTTGTTTGCTTTGGAAATCTGATGCCAACTCCTAAATACCCATCTACCCACACATACATTCATACGTACATACTCAATCAAATAAACTTCTTTATGTATTCAAATATAAGAAAACATATTTTGTGAAATTAATTGCTATTTTAATATTGTCTTCGCCAAAGGCTTTCTTTAATATTGTCTTCTTAAAGGCATGACAATTTGAAATCTAAATGTAACTACTTTGCTAGGAGTTAGGATCTGTTCTGTCAACATTCTTGAAAAAGAAGAGGGGATTCTGATCAGGGAAAAAAGAATTTGGCTACCATCTAATGGTTCAGACCAAAGATGTAGAAGAAATAATCAACCTTGGGCCTGAACAGGCTTGAAGAAACCATTTGAATTGCTCTCCTCTTTTAGGAAAACGAAGTACTTCTAATTCATTTTATATATGAAGGTCTATAGAAGACAAATGACTTGCCCAAAGTAATGCTCTCAATAGGGTGCAGGCTGAAATCTTTTTAGTATATCACACCACATCTATAGTGAACAGCAGTGCCCCTTCTTGCCCTTCCTGCTTCCTCTCTTTCTTTCTTTCCCCCTCTTTCCCTTCCTTCCTTCCCTCCCTCCTTCATTCCTTGCTCCTTCCTTCTTTCCCTCCTTCCTTCCTTCCTTCCTTCCTTCCTTCCTTCCTTCCTTCCTTCCTTCCTTCCTTCCTTCCTTCCTCTCTTTCTTTCTTTTTTATCACTACTCTAATTTTTTTACCTCAATCTGTTTGGAAGTCCCATGATAAGACTATAAAAAAAGCAATAGGTCAACACAAACAGAAGCATAGATGCTGTGTTTCTCAACAAACAGCTTGAAGCCATGCACTTAATAAAGCCAGTCAGATCAGATGGCAACAAAAGAAGGGACAGGCTAGGAAGTGTGCAGGACATAGACTCATGGAGTTGACTGTGTGACCTTTTGAAAATTACTGCTCAGTGTAATCTCTACCAGGTGAAGATGTAGTGACTGTAATTACTACATTCTGCTACAGCTCAATTATTTTCAACTTTTAAGAATGCACAGTCAGGAGATTGTTTGTTTGTATGTATGTTTTCTTTTGTTAAGACCTGCAGTGAAACCCTAAAGCAATCAAAGGATAGAATGAAAGAATAATGTATAAATAGAACTCACAGGGTTCATTCCCTTAATCACAGAAAGACAATGCTGAACTGATATGACTATTAGTAACTGTGGTGAGGTTAAAATGACCCGAAATTTATTCTATATGGGGCAAAACAAAATAAAACAAAAACCTGAAAAGTTTTTAAAAAGCAATTTCCCTTGTGCTTTTTTTTCTTATTATCTTAGCTTTTTTTTTTTTTTTTTTCTCATTATCTTAGCTTTACTCAAATTCTCCTCTTCCTTTTCTTTCTCATTCCCACATACTTTGCGTTTGGACCTTTAAAGGCTGTGGAAGGTAAATGTCATCATTCTGCTTTATTAAATGAGTCACAGTTAATCAATTTGTCCAGACCCTCAGTACAAGGTGCTGTGTTTGATACTGCAGGATCTCTTATGTTTTTCTGTTCCACAGCAGTGTATTCAAACCTTGATTCGATTTTAGGAATGAATGCAGAAACATTTAAAAAGAATTCACAACTAAATCTGTTGGGAGCAAATCTCCCAGGCAATGCACACAGAAGAGACCCAACCTGAGTCAGGACAACAGGTTTCCTTTCACCTTTTCTTTCACCTTAGTTTTGAAGCACCTGTTCTTATGTCTTGAGGCATTTCCCCAAGAACAGCCTGTCTGTAAAGCTGGCAACACCTTACATATTCACCCTTTTTGATTCATTCATTTATTCCACAGATATTTCTTAAGTTTTGGTTCTGTGCCAAGGCACAGGACATACAAAGATAAATTTGACATAATTCATGTCCTGGGAAAAGCTTTAGTCCAGGGATGTAAAGAAATGTAGAGAATAAAGAAAGAAAGAATGCCCTAGAATGGGGCTCTCTGGTGTACACCTCATTCTGTAAATGGAAAGGTTCTTCAAGGTAGCAGTTATAACCATGAAGGGACCCTACACAAATCACAGAGACCCTGATTTTGTTTGTTTTAACCTGTTATCTTTCTTCGTTGGTCACAAATGAAATCTTGGGATTAGAAGTGATAAAATGATGTCCCTGCATTTTTTTTCTGGCATGGGAGATTCAACACCAGAATGCAGATTTCTAGCTTTCTCTGAAACACTGGAAGTTCTACAAACCTAGTTCTACTTTCGCACAAGACCACCAGAATTTGGAGTTGTGACTTTCCCTTTTAGTTATGGAACTCACTTTCTAGTCCTTCACAGTCATTTCTTCCGAGACTCACGATTGTCATTTTTTAACACACTTTAGTTGTCCTTTCTTTCACCTGGCTTTTTAACCTGTCTGTACTGGTATACATATAAGTCATGGAACGTATGATGCTGAAGAAGAGCTCCTTGAACTAAAGGAACTATTTTCGTATCTTTAACACAATGGCTCGTTCACATTAGGATTTAATAGCATATCTGATTATATAGTAACACATGTGAGTCATTAACAGAGAGCAGCATCTGTGGTCTAGTCACCTCATGTATACAAGGCTCTACAGTACAATAGAATAAAAGATATTACAAGTAGAGAAAAACACCTGCTTTTTTTTTTTTGTGTGTGTGTGTGTGTCAAACTCTCCTGGAAAACATGCCAGTGCTGACCTAGGGTTTCTCAACTGCATCCATTATGGAAGGAAATCTCTCTTCTTTCTCTACAGGAACCTCTCTACATTTCTTCATGTGGTGAATTCATTTTGTCATGGGGTGAACACCTGTGTGACTATTTAAAAACCTCAACACCAGGTGTGTGCCAATGAGTGTCTCTCTCCTTCGTGAAATGTTCTTCGCACTGATTTCTCAGCAGGCTGGGTCGGGAAAAAGCCTTCAAACTGAATGTAGAAAAAGGCCTTAAAAGATTTTTATGAATCTATCTATTACAAGTGCATGCGCTGAAAATATTGCAGCTCACTTATACAAACAGGTCTTCATTTTATCAGATCCTTTTGTTTTTTACTATTTTACTATGATGAGAAGAATGTTGGCATCTCTGGGTATACCACTGAAAGTTTATCATAAAAGAGGAAATTTTGAAAGGCCTATACTAACACCTAAAAATTTGGAAGATGTTATATTATAAACACTTAAGAATATTTTTAAAAATAAAGATTGGTTTACCTTTTGCTTTGTCTAAGGGTCTCCGTTCCTCTTTTCCAAGAGATAGCTGCCCTGGGAAAAGCATTTGGTTTGCATTCGATAACAATATCCCCACCAACTTGAACAAATGAATTTTTTTTAACTGGACTTTTGGAGAAATCTGGAGCTGAGGCTAAAAACAAAATTAAAAACAAAATTGTTTAATTACTCAGTTAATATGTAGTGACTCCAGGAGTGACTCGCTATGTTAGACAGAATCTAATATTTATAGCTGTAACCTCTTTTCAAGTTACTTGGCTCAAGGTGTTCTCAGACCAAATATCGACTTAATATTTTAGAGTTTATGTTTTGTTTGTAAAATGAACATGACAATAGATATTGCCTTAGGAATTAGTGTGGAGATTAAATGATGTAACAGTTGCAGGGGACTATAGTATAGTGCCTGGCACAAAGTATAGGCTCAATAAATGCAAGTTATTTTTGTTTTGTTGGTGGTCATTGCAATAGTAAAAGCAAGTTGGTAGGGAGGAGGCAAGTTTGACAAAGTCACTTTTCTGATAGCATTTGCAATAAAGAGGATTAAGTTGGTTTCATAAGAGGCCAAAGAAGGAATTTTAATCCTGACCACGAAAGTCTATTCCAGCCAAAACAATGATCATATATGTCATATACATATATATGATTAATCAGAAACACACATACATACACACATATATACCTGTATACACATACATGTATACACATACATGTATATGTGTGTGTTTCTGATTTATTATGTATGTATATAAGTCATGGAACATATGATGTTGAAGAAACACACACATACATGTATACACACATATATATACACATATATATGTGATTTGTATTATATATATATCAATGTGATTTATTTCATTGATATTTTATTGCGGTTAACACTGATATAAATCAGAAATATTTTATTGCTATTAGCAAAAAAATACTATTGAAATAAATCAGAAATACCGTATCACTATGTCGGCTTTTTACCCACTAAATAAATGTTGAACAAATGCCAGTTCATAAGGACAAGAAATTATTAGGCTATCAGGGTGCATCTAAATCTTTCCAACTTCATGAATGTTGGAATCCATGTGTCCAGTCTCCATTTCTAACCTAAAGCTCAAGCGAACTGAAGTTCTTTCAGATACGCCATACTTTCTTGCTTCTGGGCTTTTCAGATGTTGCTTCTCTGCCCTTCACCTTACTGATGCACATTTTTACTTCTGACCTTAGATTAAAGGGAAGGTCCTCAATTTAAGTTATGTTCAACTTGTCATGTGCCATAATAGCAACTCCTCAATTCTTAGCCATAAGAATTGCCACACTTTAAATCTGACACTTTTTTTCTCCTTGAAATTATAGGTTGAGTGAAGATAAAGATCACTTCATCTTGGTATGGCTCAGTACATAATAATGTTCATTCAAACAGTAGTGATAGAAAAAATGAACAAATGAATGAGTACTCATCACCCATAAGCTCATAAAACTTTGTGTCTTGTTGTTTGATCCTTTCTCTCTTTTATCTCCTTTGTTCTTCCTACCACTAAGAAAGCCTTGGGTTGGAAACTATCAATGAGTCATTTATTGCGGCAGATACCACTGGTTGGATTTCCCAAAATATCATTCTCAAATTGCTTTAATCTCAGCACTTTCCACTATAGGGACTTATTTTTCTACCTCCTCTTGTTGTTTGGATGGTCATGTGACAGAACTCTAGTTAATGACATAAAAATGTTTGCTGTGGAAGCTAAGGAAAATTCTGCTTTTCTAATAAAAGAGATAAATGCGATTAGTTCTGTAACCTCTCTCTTCTGTCTTGAGCATAGACATGATTTCTGTAACTAGAGCAGCCATCTTGAAAGCATGAGGCTTTGATTCTGAAGGAAAGGTGTAAAGAATAACATTGTCAAGTTGAGGTGCCATACCCGGCAGCCAATGACCCTCTTGTTAAGAGATAAAATAAATCACTGTCTCTTTTAGTCACTGTGAATTGTAATTTTTTTATTACTTTTTAATTTGTAGCTGAAAATATTCCCAATAGATATTCTTTGAGTTATACTCAAAAATTCATGCTAGAATCAGCTTTGGAAGAGCTTCCTCTGGTTTGGATGCACCCAATGGTGGGTTTTCTTCTCAAGCCCCAGTGCATTGCCCAAGCAGGATAATAATTACCACCTTGAACTTTTTAAAAAGCTAATTTAGACATTTCCCATTATTTGATGGGATAGCAATTTCTAATTTACAAAAAAAAAAAAAAAGGGTTGGGATTATGTATAATTACAGCTTGTTTAAATGTCATTTTGAATTTGTTGGTTGTAAATGAATGACTTACCTAAAACTCTCAATTCAGCATTTGCATAAATTATCCGATATTTGTTTTCTGCAGCACATTGGTAGACACCAGAATCTGACACATTCAGCATCGTTATGATGAGCGTCCCATTATCTATTTGAATTCTCTCCTAATAAAGGAAAAGGCATATAAAGATGCTAGTATATTAATATAGCATCCTCTTAACCAGGATATGTTATTAAACAACATTTGTGTATATCTATGAGATCTGATATTTTGATGTATTAATACACTACTAGATCCTGAGCAGCATTTTTAAGTTTAAAAAATGAAAATATGTTTAGGATAATGTTACTGGTTACTAGTGTGTTTTATGTTATCTCATTTCTTTGACATTGGACATACTTTGCATAAAATGTATGTTAACTTTCTGTTATTTGGTATACATAATAATTTGGAATACTCCGCCATCCTAATTATTCCAGAAAACATGCTTAAAAATAATGTTAGATATGTATATCATGACTAGAACATCGTCTGGGCTTTCCATTTTCCGAAAGTTTCAAAAACATTTGAAATGTGATGATGTGATAATTTTCTAGTTGAGTCCTGAGTTGGAGTAGCTAAATCCTTCCTTTCTACAACCTACTATAAAGTGTGCCTGAACAGCCAAAATCTGTTACAGAACCCCATTTGGGGTATAGAAATACAATTTTGAGTGCACATAATGACATAGTTAATAGTGCAAATATAACTTAAGACTAAATATTTCAAGGTATATATTACCATACTCCAAGGAAAAGGAAAATAGGCTGGAGGAAACAGAATGCTCTATGCAAAAGGCATGCAGGAAAAAATTTTCACTGATGCTGAAACAAAGAACAGCATTACATTCAGCTTCCAAACAACAGATGTTCTTTGTGTCTCTGGCTATGCCTACATGTGCAAAGTAAAATAGAGAATTAACACAATTATCTGGATAATGTATTCGGTAAAAAACAACTCTTTCATTTTCTAGGTGTTGTAGAAGAAAGTATGCTTTAAATTGAGAAATGTGGGTGACTGCCTTTGTTATTTACTTTCCTAGGAGTTTAAAGACAGTCGTCAGTGTTCATAAAAGCAAGATACTGGGTAGTGACTAAGAGATTGGGTCCTGATATCACACCAAAATAAAAGTTTAAAATGCTAATTCTAACATTTACTAACTGCTGTGTGACCTTAAACAAGTGGCCTAACCTCTCTGAACTAATTTTCTTCATCTATATAAAAGAAGAATAACTGTATCTCTCTCATAATGTTTTCATCAGGGTGATGATGCAATAAAATAATGCATGGAAAAATATTTAACACAGGGCTTGGCTCACATGAGAGTTCAATAAAAATTATCTGTGTCGATGATGACGATGATGATCATATTTAAATGTGAATCTATTACTGACTAACTGTGTGATTTTGTGAAAGTTATTTGTCTTGTCTACACGTATTTTTATCTTTTGAAAGATGGGTTACTTTGCAAGTTTCTTTAAGGATTAAATAAATCAGTGTATGCATCCTTTCCTGGAACACACTAAAGACTCCATTAATATTAGCTGTTTCTGTTAGTTACTAGTACTGTTAGTAACAAAATTTACCCAGCAGAGTAGGTAAACTTTTAATATCAACATAGTTGCTTACCTCTGGGTTGAGTCGTTCGCCATTTTTTAACCACGTGTACCAAGGGTTTGGCTTTCCACTAGCTTTACATTTCCAGAGCAAGTTGTCATAGATAGAGAGGTATGTATTTTGGATTTTCTGTTCCCATTCTGGAGGAGCTGTTTCAAAAAGGCAAGTGCAACTGTTTGGTAAGGCAATTATCCAAGACATTATGCTACATTCCAAGGGTTATAGAGATCAGAAGGACCAGGCTAACTGGGTCCAGTTGGATTGCACACACATGATTTGAGGGACGGGAAATGCAGGAGCTTCAATGTGGGGTGACAGAAATCCTGTTGCAAATATCATTGGGCATTTGGCTCAAGTTAAATGTTTGTCATCTGTCATTTTGCTGCACCTGTATAACAACTTGGGAGCTGTGGGAAAAGGGCAAAATGTAGAACAGGGCCAAGGAATAAATCCGTGCTAAATATTAGAACATAGGTCAAGTTAGAAAACGTATATCAAATCTGAACCTGTGTAATAAATCTGAAAGTTCAGTGATTATATTTGTTCTAAACTAAAAGTAATAAATCTGTATCTATTTCAGACACAATTACAACTCAATACCTTGAAGCATAAATCAAACATGAGCCTCCTTGCATTTTGGTAGAAAGATAATCCAGTATTCTTTCTTCCTAGATAAAACTCTTGACAAGGAATGTGAACATTTGGGGTTTTATACAGGTTCAGTATCTTACTTTAATTCTGGGTGTGAGTTTTCCAAATTTTCTTTAATTTGAGAAAGTTCTTCATAGTACTAAGGCAACAAGCAACTGGCATAATTGATGTGAAAGTAAGATTGCATTATTTTTACCATCATTTATGGAAACAGGCAGGTTGGAAATTAAATGTTCTCACATGAATATCTCTTTCATAAACTGGAAACTTCCTGGAGGTGCCAATTAATCCTTCTCCTTTATTTAGTTCTATCCTTGGATATATAGAAGTATATAATGCTTCCTTTGGACTCTCAGGCTGTGGCAAGCCAGATGCTTTATATTTGTAACTGCACTTAATTCCCTCTATAACCTTTCAGTGGATTCTTGCTGATGTTAGGTAACCTGTTCAAGATGACATGGTAGAAAACAGGGAAGCCAAAATTTGAACCCTAAAAGCAGAGCCTAAGTAAAGGGCTTGAGTTCCACATGTTTATTTGACAATGCCAAGAGAAAAGTATAAGGAAAAACGATAGTCACAGGGAAGGAAAAAATAGTCAATGCAAGGATGAGTTACTGAGTTGACCACCAACATGATCCATTTTTCTCCATCTTTTGCCAACTTCAAAGCAGTCTTTACAAGCTGTCTACCCAGGAAAATAAAGGGGGATCATTTAGTTCCCATCCATGGTCATCTAATGGTAGTACAGGTGTAAACTACTGGCACATCCAAACTGTGCATGCTTAAATGCTGAGTAGACTCGCGAAGGAGCCAAAGAAAACCCAGAACAGAAAACAAGATGTACTTAGTAGTTTGGCACCTGAGACAACACTCTTTCAGGTTACACCTACAAAACACAGTGCTGAACTGGTCACTGTAGCAATGGCTGAGGTAAGAAGTAGGACCAAGAGGATTTAAAATTGTATACAACATGAAACCCAAGTCTGTCTGATTTCTAGTTTTTCTACTGCAAAACCTGCCTTCACCAAGACAGAAGACCCTTCAATGAGCCTACAAATGAGTAAAAGAAATTATTATGTCTCTGGGTGGTGGGAACTAAGCCTAGGATTACCTCTTGTGGAAATCAGGACAACTTCCAGTTATAGAATACGCTTTCTGCAACCTTGAGGGACAAATCAAGGTAAAACTTAGAAGAACTAGGTGTATTGATGAAATTGAATCATGTTTCTGGGTATTATTAACAAAATTACATGATTCATAGGTATTTGTTTAGAAATTGTTCTAATATATGTTTGACCTGGGAAAAGAAATGCATGCTTATACATAATTTCACATAACTTAAAAAGGTTTCAGATATATTTGATTTTATGCTTAATGCAATAATTGTAGCTTTAGAACACATTTATTTATTTAATGTGCACATTCTTTGGATGATTAAAATTCTGGAGAGCAAAGTTTTAAATTTTCAACTAGGTAGGAAATTCATGGGAGAAGATGCTTAGGATTTTGGGTCTACCACAGAGGTTTGAGTTTTAGATATTTTTTCTGCCATGTTGACTGGTTATAAAAAGCCACTTACCTCCTCTGAACATGTTCTGTTTTCTATGATGAATAATACTTTAGAGATTTTGTTTGGAGATTATAAAAATACAACATAGATGGATATATAATATTACTTGGCTCTGAATTATAACGTAAACACAGCAATATAACTGAGACTGAGAGATTCTTTTCTTGAATTTCTCAGTTATTCAATTCTGAGGTAACTGAGTCAGTAATCCTCTTTTCTTTTGAGAGAACTTCAGAAAGTAAATTAATACATGACTTAGAAGCATAATGATTATGTTATTGACCAAGTATCCATTATTACCCCACAAGGACCATTTCAGGCTCATTAAATGGCTAATTTGGTTGTGGTGAGGTATAGTACAATGAACTTAGACCACCATGTTGAAATGCTATGGCAGAGTCCAGTTTCAGAAGACCTTTCAAGGTTCTGATCTTGAATCTGACAATCACCATCTGTCAGATCCTGCACAATTAACTCGAGGTTTTTTTGCCTACAGTATCACTGAACATTGTTTCTACCTCTTAAGATTAATCTTAAGATTTCTACTTCTTAAGATTAAGAATTCTATAAATTAATATTTGTAAAATTGCTATGTAAGCTAACATTTGCTATATCAGTATAGAGAAAAGTACTTTATCATTGATTTCCAGTTTATGGATACCTTTGTGTTCTGGTTCATCTCTTGATTATATCTTTGTCTATTATATATAAAATGGAAAATATTTCTTTAAAACTAGCCAAAGCATTCAATATCTTCATTCTACAAAAACTCCCATTTGTATCCTATTTTATTTACAAAGGATACTAAATTCCAAAGACTTTCCTTTAAAGTGTAGGTACTATTGAAAAAAATATATTGTTTTTCTTGGCTAGCTTTGCTAAAACTGTAAGAGAATAATGAGTAGGAAATTATATTCTATATATAAAATAGTAGTTTTCATTGCAGGGTAAAGTTGGAAATTCTAAAGAAAATGGAAAATAATATTACAGACACACAATATGTTCTCCCCACGGGCACTCAATCAACATTCCAATGGGATAATTACAGTATCCTAGATTTTTCTAGTTATTTTACACACATATTTTCTCCAATTACTTTATTATTGATTATAAACATGTCACATAGGAAAGTATTTTTGGCCATATATCAATACTTTTAAAAAATTATCTAATAGAGATATATTAAATTTATCAAAGAAGTTAAAGATATTTTAATAGTATACAGCATTTTGAGAATTCTGAGGTATATTTTATTGTTTACTTAACGTAAGTAAGAGAAAATTTCAATCCTGGGTGAAAGAAGACATGAAGACAGCTTTTAGATAATATGTGCATTCATCATCTCTCTTAAGTGTATGAGAGCTTTTTGTAACTGAGACAAACATAATTTTAAATAATATAATCACCTTATTTTTATATTACCTACTTAAGAGTAGACAAAATATGAAAAATAGAAACAAATATTATAAACCACCATGCAGTATTATATTTTTCCTATCAATTTTGTCCTTCATTTATTAATTCTACTTAGAATTAGAATCAAGATTGCTATAATCTGCTGCAGAATGTTTTATGGGAAATATATGGAGTTTATGCTACCTTTTATTATAAACTTTTATGGCTTTAACATGACACTGCTGAACTTTCAAGGCAATTATAATAAACAATAGCATTCATAGACCATGCTAAAATTAAAACCGTATTTTAAAGGTGGTCATTCCCAGCCGCTAATCATTGTATTAAGCATCTAAACCTGGAAATATGCCTTCCTTATTTCTCCCATGACACTTTTTCACAACATGCTAATGACTTCCACAATTTATTATGAGGGGCATTACCAAATATTTTATATACATTTGAAATTCAATTAGCTCACCATAAAAAATGAGTTGACCCTTTGCAAGGTTTCTTCCTCGAAGGTTACTTGCAATACACTCATAAAAGCCTTCATCTTCTTGTTGAAAGTTCGGGATTTCAAGGATAGCTTGGGATTTGCTGTACTTGACTTTCCCTGGCAACGGGCTCCCGTCCAACCTTCTCCAACTAATATCAGGGACTGGACTAAACAGTTATACCTCATTAGAATAGAAGATGGTTTAGTCTTTATGACAGCAGAATAAAAGAAGAGCATCCTTACAAATAACTCTCAAGAAAAATATTCTATCCATCTGTTGTACTATGACTAGTTTCCAGATCATGCAATCATTCACCATTCACTCAATCAGTCATTTATTTAACACTTTATTAAGTGCCTGCCATATGCAAGTCACTGTGCTATGTTCAGGGAAAATACTGGTGAATAAAATAGACATGTCCTCTGCCCTTATGTTGCTTACAGACTAGTGGGAAAACATACCATAAACAAATAATAAAAACAAGTACACTTGCAAACTGCAATAACCAAAACAAAAGAAATAGGGTGCAGAGATAGTAACAAAATTATGTCAATTTATTATAGTGCTCGAGGGAATTATTTGTGAGAACATGATATTTAAGACTAGGCAGGCTTTATACATATATTTATAGTTTCTAAGGCAAAAATGTAAAGTATTCCAGAACTAAAGTGGTACTAATAGATAACTGAAGACATGTGATGAGTGAGGTAAATTATCCGGGGAAAACAGCACTATGAAACAGACCCATATGAATGGGTAAATAGGCTCTATGATCCTCAAAAAAAGTACTTATTGATACACTATTTAAAAAAATAAAATAAAGATGGATTTACGTCACATCCTGTCACCTGTTATAAACAATTTGTAAATAAAGTTACCTAATGAATATGAATTTAGTCTACTTTCTCATATCTATTATTTTTAGTCTAATATGGGTATCTTTTGAGGGAGCAAAAACACATGTTATAATAAATGAAACTAAGTGTTTAACAGTAAGGGATGAATTTAGAAATTAATGGTTTAGAAGGGATAATGTAAGAATGGGCAGGCTGCAAGCAAAGTTCCAGAAGGAAAATATTCACTACTAAACTAATGATTTGTAATATGAATCCCCAGTCTGTTCACATTAATATCTCTCCTTTCCTCCTGTCAAATCATTTTTCATTCCCTTATAGATTTTTAGATGATTTAAATAATTCTATTCTAATTATATTTCAAATTAATAATAATAATGGTAGTAAGTCATTTTGCAAAGTCAATTGGTAAACCTTGAAGAAGAGGCAGAATTTCTTCAAGTCAGCAGAAGGAATGTGGGAGACACATTCAATTACATGCAGTGTTTGGCAAATAAAGATTTGGAGAGTTTGAGCAGTAAACAACTGCAGAAAGCTGGGAATGTCTCAGTAGAAGCTTCAAGCAAGAAAACTTATGAAGCCTTACACATTTTTATTGGAAAAAATTATGATCCTCTTGTGTACATCAAGGATAAAGTACAAGGATAGAAATCACATGCGCTCAAACATATTTGTCAGAAAATGTGCTACAAATCAATGTTTGATTCATCTATGATATTCAGAATTAACATACAATTACAGTGAAAACTTGAATTTTGAATTGTGTTAAGTACAAAATAAACTAATTATTATCATATACTAAGTTTTTGTCCTTTAAAAAAGCCTTGCCACTTACCACAAATTTAAGTTGACATTTCAGTAAATTGGTATATTCTTGGCAACAATTAACCTCAGATAACTGATGTTCTTTTTCATTCATTTTATGGCATACTAACCAATAAGAATGAAATTCTAGAAGGAACTTTATTCACATAGATATTCATAATGTCTAGTGAATTTTATAGGATATGAGGTTTTATTCAACTAAAAATACATATGTTGTATGTATTGCATGTGAAGTTTTTATCTATAGGTAGTTGTGATATAAATGTCTTTTATTTTATTTTATTTTCTGCTCTCTGCTAATTTCTAGTTTTCATTATTTTCCTATAATGAGCATGGATTACCAGTGTAATAAAAATTTTCTAAGAAAGTTTTTTTTACAAAGAAAAAATAGAGCTCTAATATTTGTCTGAATTCATGATCCTTCATCTTTTTACGACAGCAAATCTCTGAGATTTATGACAAATACATGCAAAGTATCCAACTGAGAAAGCTTTTAATCTAAAACATTCAGACAAAATATAAGCAAAAATAGTGTATTTTTCCCACTGCTCTTAGTTCTTTATGTTGATTGTGAAGACAGAAGTCATTTTTGTACATAACTAAATACCTCAGTAATTGAACATTTTGACAATTATGATAACTGTAATAATATTACAACAAATAGCCACCTTATATGCATATATTGTGCAGACTCACAGTACCTGTACAATACATAGTACCAAGTTCTCTGTATCTGTATAATATATACATATAATTTCACTCAGTTTTCCTAAAGCTGAAGAGGTAGAGCTGGGATTCATTTTCAGGTTTTCTCGAAGTAGAAGTTACAAGTATAATTCAAGGAATATTGATTTCACAGCTATTGTGTTAGGTTCGTGCAAAAGTAATTGCAGTTTTTGCCATTAAAAGTCATGGCAAAAGTAGGATTACTTTTACACAAACCTAATTAGATCATTCCCCTTGCATCCTAGGTATCTGTTACTTTACAAAAGTGGATCTCCATTTTAAGTGGCCCAATTGTTTGGGTGTAAAGAGAATTCCACCTTTTCCAAAGAAAAATAACTCAGTGACAACATTAAAGTCTTACTGGACAAGCATTTTTTCCCCTTCATAGAACAAATGGAGTATCTTATTTAGATATACTTTTCTTAGAGGAGTAATGTAGCAGAAAATGTCAATGCCGGACTCATATCCCTTGTAATTCCTCTTCTGCCCCAGATTCCTATGTACTTTGCACCTTTAAGAGCCAGTACATGTTATCTCTTTTTTGGACACTGTGCTCAAGTTGCTATAGCTAACTTATCTTCGCAAAGAGAGAACTGAAAGTACCTAGGAATTTACATGCCCCCAGGAGCACTTAACCAATAACTGACTGGCTTCTAGGATATAACTTCTCCAGCTCCCATGCCCCTAGTTGTGAGACAACTCTAGGTGTGACCTGTATTCTCTCCAGAGCTATAGGATTGAGTCAAATTTACCTTCTGTGGAACTTTGCTTGACACTGTATTGAGCTTGGCTACTGTCTCCTCCCTGCCCCACTTCCCTCTTTTCCTGTGGGTTCTTTCTGAAAACTCGTCTAATAAATCACTTTCAAAAAATTATACTTTCAGAGTCTGCCTCTTAAAAATTCAATTAATTAGAATTCCCGATAGGCTCTAATCATGTGCTAGTTTAGTTACAATACCAACTGTAGGAAACCTTAAATATTTCTTACTATAGTATTTTTATATAGGCATTAGACACACATCAAAATGGAAGTCTAGAGAATTGAACATGAATGGCATATAGGACAAAAAAAAATTAGTAGTAGAACCATTGTGAAAAACCATGAATTGTGGAACATATGTTGAGAACTTATTTCTCTGCAGAGCTACAATCACACCAGAATGATAGCAAAAGGTAAGAAATGCAAGGGACATGAGGCTTAAAAGAGACGTGAAAATCTCACTTAAAAAAGAAACTCCTCTAGAATTTTCTCTTTCCTTTCTCTCTCTCTCTTTCTCTTTCTTTCTCTTTCTTTCTTTCTCTCTCTCCTTCCTTCCTTCCTTCTTTCCTTCCTTCCTTTCTTTCTTTCTTTTTCTTTCTTTCTTTCTCTTTCTTTCTTTCTTTCTTTCTTTCTTTCTTTCTTTCTTTCTTTCTTTCTTTCTTTCTTTCTTTCTCTCTTTCTTTCTTTCTCTCTTTCTTTCTTTCTCTTTCTTTCTTTTCCTTCCTTCCTTCCTTCCTTCCTCAATTGTGTTTGGAGTTGTAAGTCTGATAAACCATTCAATTAAGAAGGTTATAAGATTCAGGGTATGGTACTGGGCTTTAAAAGTTATATTGTTCAACTTTGAAGAAATTTACAAGAATTAATGTCCTGGATTCTAAATCTGCAGAGGGCATGTGTTTGCCTTTTTTTTACCCGCATTTTTATTTTCCTTAGAGAACCCAATCCTCCCCATCTCATTTGAGTTGGGCTGACCACACCTCTGGCATTAAGTGAGAGCATATAATTCAGGTCTTGCCATGAGAGGCTCGTAGGGCATAGCCACCTTGACTAGACAAACATCGGGATGAAGACAAACCAATCAGAGACAATTAGACTCAGTTCAGGGGCTGCTTGCAGAATGGCTCTTGAAGAGGATCTCTCTCTCCACTGAGGTTTTTTGAGACAGTGAGGTATAAACTCCAAGATTCTAGTCAACAATTTTCCACCAAATACAGAAAGCATCTCTGAAACCCGAAGCTAACACAGAGGAAAGAATACCTAACTCAAGTCATGCTTGATGCCCACCCCCAAAAAACAAACAAGCAAAAACCTTTTTGAACGTTTCAATTAGCCAATATATTCTTTTTTTCTTAAATTCATTTTGAGTCATTTTCCTGCTATATTCATCCAGAAAGGACCTGACAAATGGATTCTGAATGACTCAGTTCAAATGCTAGCCAGGTTAGTTTCTATCTGTGTGATTGACTTATGTGATATGGTGGATTCCTCCTGAATATTATAGTGTATACTCTAGATATTTTAGAATCCTCACAGCAAAAAAAAAAAAAAAACAAACAAACAAATTATCAAAAAAAATGGTAAAAACCTTTTAAATAAGAAAAGTCTAATCAAGTGAATTTTGTGGCAATAGTTTTTGTTAACAAAATTTTTAATGGGAGAAAAGTCAAGCAGGTTTATACAATTTCACAGTTCCTAATTAAATGTTGAGTTTTTTTCAGCTCAGTTATATAACTGCTAAATCTGAATGCCATGTTCTTCTTGCTTATCGTTGGTAATGTAAGGTACAGAGGCAGAAAGAATAAATGCAAAACATGGGTTATTTAAAAATATGTATGCATTTTAATGAACAATTCCCATTTCATCCCAGAATTTCTTATGAAGATACTAAGTAAACTGCTTCAGATTTGACACCATTTTTCTTTTCTGAAGCCATCCTAAATGGACAGTGGGTGGGAAAAACTGGAATCAATGAAAAACAAAATTACTTTAGTAAGGAGCTTT